GGGATTACAATTGTTTATTTGCACGTTTACCCACTTAAAATTGTATAGAGGCGGACCTAAGTCAACAGTTAGATGGTGCAGAGATATTACGGCAGGTGCAATCAAACTACTAACTAAGCTAAGCTACCGCGGCATCGGACTAAAGCAGGAGAAGGAACGGGGGGTTTTAGTTAGTTAGACTCTGACACTCCCTCTCGCCTCACCCTGGGCGAGAAAAGAAATTGGATGCTTTTCCCCTCACAAAAAGGTGCAATCAAAATAATAACATGTACATAAATATACATATATAGTTCATTCTTAAATATACATATATTTTATTCAAAATTAGGGGCGAAGGGATAATAGGGCAGGGGATGAAAGATTAATAAGATACTTACACTAATAATATCCTAAAAAACTCATCAGCAATTACCGTAATTATCCAGTAGTTGCCAAGTATACACCTTGATGAACAATAGGCCCCTACAATTAGAATTTTGTTTAAAACCAATAATAGATTTACTACTTATAATAAATAGTTCTCACAACTCAACTTTATGATCCATATGGTTCAATGAACCTTCTAGTACATGAAACGCAACCTGACAGTCATATGCAATAATTGGGTTGACTTGTGACAGTCAACTAGGACGGATCTGTGGCAAGGTCGCCGGCCGGAGGTCAGCCCATCCCAATTCCTTATTGTCCCGACAAAATACCAAATGTGTTCCGCTACAGTTCGCATCTTCTTTCATATCATTGAACTTTTTATTTTGTACATTAGATAATAATTCTGTTTATGGACGCTGATCTTAATTGTATAGTGGTACAATATTACACCATGATATGTTATTCTAATTATAGGATGCTAGGTGTATTTGAATTTTTTTTTATAATGTGTGTTTAGATATTTGTAGGTACCTAATTGCCAATGATGTCCTTTTTAACTAATATCAACCCGTCGAATGTCGGTTTATAAGACACAATAGAAAATACATTGTGTCTCGCGTGGATCCACGTTTAAAACATACGAAAGGTTAAAGTTGTTCAACGGGCCTTTGCGAGTTGGCGTCGGCCCCTCGTCCTTAGGTCTGGTACCCTGTGGTCTTGTTAATATGATTATTCTTTCAGAACAAATGTAAAATATATGATCAGACCAGATTTTCTTTTAGCGTCTATCTTCTGTAGTAAATATACCTACACACAATATACACCTGCTATCAGTTCTTTCACCAAGCTCCTAACGTTTTACAACGAACACGTCAAAAATTCTAGATCTTATAGGTACGTTACTTTTGAAATTTATATTGCGATTGGGCAACTGGCTGCTGTGCAACGTGACGCAGGTGCGATTCCCGTACGGAACAACATTTTGTATGATGCATAAATTCTATGTTATGGAAACTCTCCCACGATGCACGTTTTCTCTATTAGATAATAATTCGGATATCAGTTGGAAATTTTTTATGTAGGTATTTAGCTAGGTAGGTACCTACACGTTATACTTGTAGATATACCTAAGGTTTCAAGCCCATGGCTTTAGACGTCGCGAGTCACGAATGAATCATTTAAATATCTCTAATGATTTGACGTACTCTTTGAAATCTTATCAAATTATCTTAAGAGATGATGGTTGTTGTTACGTGAAGATAATGTTGCATGAATCACATACCATCATTATCACTTACGTACTTTTATTTTGACAAAATTGCGGATCGCCACAATCCCCCAAAACCACTAAACAGTAGATACAACTTACACTAAAACGCCTTGATCCGAACAGTAAAAATCTTTTTATGAACATGTGAACAGCCATGGCGCTGCACTAATGGGTCGGCTTGCCCGGTGCAATACCACGGCTTGACAGAAAACAGAATTAAACAATCACAGCGTTATGAGGTTACCTTCCACTCTCGCAATCCCTCCCCAATCCCTTAATCCCAAAAATCCTAATCTCCAAAAGACTGGCAACGCCCCTGTAAGTCCTCTGAGGGGTATCCATTGCGGCACTGAAAAAAAAAACCGAAAAGAAAAAAAAAATATTCCGTTTTGCAGTTGCAGTCTTTCAAGAATGACGGCTATATCGCTTTTATGCCCTAATGCAACGTGTTTGAACAGTGCAAATTCATTTAAAATCTGGATATGGATCAATATATGACATATCTACAAGACCTGGCGAATTGCACAGAGCCTCAAAATTATTAACTTTGTTGTCAGTTTTGGTCCTTATCAAATTTCAATTATTTTCCATGTTTTCTCAAGGTTTCACTCTTCCTTGGATCTCCTCGATTATTTCAAGTCTAACAAACAGGAATTCATTTTTATAATATATAAGAGAAGAAGATAAAGGGTCAGAATTAAAATTTGGGATATTCCTCTTTTATCAAGACGACCAGACACGTATGAGTCATTGTTATATCATGACAAAGCTACAAGAGATCGGGTTTAATCGAATGAATACCTGTTTAGATAAACCCTAATATCTCTCGATTTTGATAAGGTTACAGTCATGCCATACAGTCCTCCTAAGGTTTTACTAGAGCAGAGGAGTAACAATTTTGGAAAGTTTATTCCAACCAAACCGTAAACAGGTTCTTTTGTATAATAACGTCAAAATAGAAAGAAAAGAGCTCTGTTAGTCTGTTCGTCAATGAAACTGGTGCTAGTCTCAAATTGTTGATCTAAATAAAGGAGAACGAGCAAGGAACTCCATCGTTACTCTTTTAAAAAAATATATACCTTTTATAAGTTCGCCACTACCTACATTATTAATTTTAATACATATTATCCGAATCCGACAATGGCGACAACAGTATCTTTTTACTCGCTAGATGGCGCTAATGAATTAGCTAGTGTCACAAGATTGGACGTTATGTATATATGTTTGACAGTTAACTGCAGTAATTGCATAAACTGACCTTTTATAAATTACCGCTGTTAAGCAAATCAACGGTAACTCATTGCGGCTGTAAATTATAGTAACGATTTTTCTAAGTTATATAACAAGACTGTTTCAGATCTTTATAAATTTGTGAACGCCTATCCGTCTCGGAATGTCCTGGTCTGTGGCGTTATACATCCATAGTGTTAGAGCCTTTGCCCAGTAGAAGAATAGTTACAGGCTAATGATCCAACCAATGATTTACGGTGGTATAATAGATCCTTTTGATAACATCAAAGTTGACACAGAGAATTTTACTATGAAAATGGCCACTGAATACCTATAAGTATACTCTTAATATTTTTAAACTACAGTTGTAGAATATTAAAAATCCAAATCCAAACTAATATTATAAATGCGAAAGTAACTCTGTCTGTCTGTCATTTCGTAGCGCCTAAACTACTGAACCGATTTCTGAAATTTTGTACATACATAGTTTGGAACTCGAGAAAGAAAATAGGATAGTTATTATAACAAAAATTTGCCGGAAATCACTATTCCACTCGAACGGAGTCGCGGGCAAAATCACGTACACAAATATGTTCGTAATTTGTAAATGGCTATGAACAACACAGTTTCTTTTTTTTTCTTTTTACAAAACGTTGCCCCGCTCTAGGATTTTCTGCTGTGTCGTGGTTGCAGTTACAAACATACGGTTTCACGTGCACACGACACCCAGACCCGGAACAACAATTTGTGGATCACACAAAGAGTTGTTTCGTGCGGGAATCGTACCCGCGACACGTTGCACGGCAGCCTGTTGCCTGGCCACCGCAACAACTGTGCCATAAAATTTTTATTAATTACAAATATTAACTATTATAGTATAGATAATTGTGAAATGTAAATTGTATGACAAGAGCATAGGCCAAACTTGGAAAGAAAATTAAGATAACTATAAATAAAAAACTATCTTTAAAGTTCTGCGAATGAACAAAAAAGATGGCAGTTAACCGCGATGCTCGCTTAGGGCGGGAGGAGCCATTCCTTTTCCACTTTCAAATTTAAATGGATTTCTCCCATTAAAAAAAGAAGGTGAAGGACCGATCCTGGCTAGTTTGAACTTCTTGCAGATTTTTTTCTATATAACAAGTGTCATAGTTGTTGTTTAGACATCCATTCCTAGTGCATAAGGATCTAGGGTCGAAACCTTTCAAATCAATCCAGTGCGGTTTAGTAGAAAACATCGTGACTGGTCTTTTTTTTTGGTGTCGGGTTGGAAAATCCTCATGGGGACCCACCTTCCTCGGGGAAGGGCGAAGGATACTGTCAGACTCATACTGACTAAAAACCAACCCGGTGTTCCTCCACTTACCCATGTGTCGGAGGGGCGGGTATCGCCGAAGCATTCGTCGCATCCCATCGTGACTGGTCTGGAGATTATCAAACTACACTCTACACTAACTCTTTAAGCCAAGCAGCGTGGTGATAAATACTTATACCTTCTCTGAAGAGGGAATGCCGCTTAAACGATACCTTTGCTGAAATTGACTTTCGGATTACAAATTATGAGATTGAAATCAGCCTATTGTCAGACTGCTAAACAAACACCGTTTACCTCCGTTTTATTTCATTTAATTCTTAACATTTTATTTATTGACATCAAGTTGTCTATTAACCCTCACAGGCGTTAATTCTTATTTATAAATACAAAATTAACTTACAAAAGTACACGACATGATACATAACATAATCACATTTTATCATTATCATGTATTGTTTTACTGACATAATCAGACGACCAATTTGTTTTTATTACTCGGCCTGGAACTGCATTTACGCTTTACACTAAGCTAGAAAGTGAAATAGCGCACAAGCCGACCACGCGAAATTGTCCCATTCCGACTACACTACTAGTAATTAATTGTGTTTATTCTGATTCGGTTGGTTTATGCCGGTGCGTTCCGATAATATGTGACAACGGATTTTTACATCCAGCCAGTCCGCAGACACGCGTCGTGCGGAGAACGCGCTTGTGTTCGGATTTCAAATTTTGAAAAGAAAAACATCGCGAAACATTTTGACAGATGAACAAAAATTTTTTTGAATTTATTTTATTCTTGTGTTCTAGTTTTCATTATTGATTAAGTTTTTGGTTGTAGCAGTTAAGAATTTTCGATTTATTAATTTTCGCGGGTGGTAGTCCGCTGGCGCTTTCTTGAAAATATTTCGCACAACGAAAGTTTTATGCACCAAATGTAAGTAATTTCCATAAAATCCTAATTGTATTTAAATATTTTATAACTCTTTAAAATAACTTTTATTTCTCTTTGAAACTTATGTCACTCCGTTGTTTGTGTTTAATAAAAATATGTTTAAAAAATTCTTTACCACAATTTGCCGCCACCAGTTTAATTTGAACTCAAATTGTGATAACAATTCACGAAGCTGATAAAGAAACTATAGTTTTACCTATATTTTTTAAATCTTATTTTTATTGTTAACTAACAATATCGACTAAATACCTAGTTATTTAAAAGTACCTTCTTCGTTTTCACTTATTACTTATTTTTGAATACCCATCATAATTTTCACTTTGAAAATCATTCCTCAAAATTAAATTTTCGATGCTAATAATATGGTATTTTAATGTCTTTCTGTTCTCATCTTTGCGTGGATAGGTCTTGCACACATTAAAATAAAAACAAATAAGTGAAACAAAGTGTGTTTCGGTGAAATATAAAAAAAACAAAGAACGCAGACGTATGTAAAGTCAAAGTATTAGAAAAAATAACAAAATTCAAAACAAATAATTCTCATTCTAGAATTCGCTTATTTGTTTTCTATTTACACAGTTTCAATTATTTTATCAATAAAAACGGCCAAATACAAACGCTGTTCCAAAATTTCCTATACTAGAGCAAATTGTAAACAACATTCTTAGAAATAATCATCTGTTTATCAGAAGAAAAAGTTATTCCTTTCGTAATTGTATCACAATGTATGTAAGTACGACTAAGTATATTGTATCACTCTTTAAGTGTGAGTAAACAAATAGTGATAAAGTTATGTAAACAAATGACTAGTCGTGACCCTAAATGTCGTAATATCAACTGCTTTGTTGATATTCTATATGAAATCTAAAGAAATTTTACTTAGTGATTTAAAAAATGATTTTTGAGTAGATTATAAAGTAAGTACGATGGGACTGACATATAGGTACAGGGTATAAAAGTATATCTTCTTTTTAAAAAATTATGAAGCTGTGTCATCAAACTGTGTACTAACAGAAACATGATATTATATATAAAATTAACAAAAAAATATGAAAGAACATAATTTAAAAAAAAAATATGACTAGATGTCTTACCTGAAAATCTTAAAGATTAGGTACTCGTATAAACTGTTTGTGAAAAAAAACTACGCCACCAAAAAAAGTTGTTGATGGTCAACAAATTGTTTAAATTGTAACAAAATTGTTTTCTATGTCAAAAATAAATTATTTTGACATTTCAAGACATTGAAGTAATAAAATATAATCATACTTTGATACATTAATTTGAAGCAGTGCTTGTAGACATAATCGCATACAAACAAGTTCAAACGCTATTCTACGAGAAATTTGAATTATTGTTAATTAACGACTGAATTTAAAAATCGAAAACAATTTCCAAATTCAAAATAACAATGTTATACAAATAAATATATCTTTGCATTTTTAAACCAAATTTAAAATGCAATGAATGCATGGAATTTCTGTCAAAATCCGGGGCTGAATCTCTAAATTTTTTTGATTGATTGGTAACTATATAAAGTTTCCAAATTCCTTCTCCATCTTTATTACCTATTGCGATTGTTGCCGCCAATCCTGTTATTGAACTAAGTTTTTAAATTTTAAGAGCATTAATAATTTCAATTATAAATTTTAGACCAATTACATAATAGCATTTGATATTTTCAATTTCCTGCTTTAATTAAATGCGCTTTTTCCGTGACCCGATAATAATTATTTCTGATCAAAGTTATTAATATACAAACCGTAGGTGATATGTAATGTTTAATATTGTAGTATTTAATTATGCTCAAATAACAAATCGTATAAATCTAAAAATGTTAGAAGTTACTTTTAAATAATACAATATGTAATTGGTACGTGAAAAATAAATTATTTTTTGTCTCTTCAAAACAATAAATTATTAAAATATGATCATATTGTCACTCTTTAACTTGACGATTTATTTAAGTTTAGATAGTTACAAATAAATTTGCTATTTGACGAAAAAACACTATGACTCTTTGAATTTCATAGAAAAATCATAGAAATGTATCGTTTTTGACAATTTAACAGACGTGGTGAATAGATGGAAACTACCGGGTCATACCAAAAAATTACAATAAATATTTCATAATGTAAGTAGTTAACGTAATTATGTACCTTTTTTTTCTTGAAAGGCAATTATAATCCTTCTTTATAAATTAGGAAACATGATATTATAAAATAATTTTAAAATAAAACATCACTTTTAAAATATGTTCAATAATATTCATGTCCATTTATATGGTAATAAATATTATACTTTTTGTGTACTTATATTAGGTATTAATTACACTTTGTTATGACACTTTTATTTCATTTTGAAAGCAAACATAAAACAATTGAATCTACATTTTATTAGCAATAAGACACTTGATTAAAGAATGATTAAAAGTACAAATAAAGAGTTGTCACATCATTATACCCTACATGATAAGCTATAACTAAAATATTATTAGATATATCTTTATTTATGTAATTCTGCTGTACATGTGTATGACATTGAATTCCTCCTAAACGGCTTGACCGATTTTAATGTATTTTTTTCACATAGTTCAAATAATAGACTCATATCATCATTTATGCTTTCTTTCTTCTTGCAAAATAAATGGACAAAAAACATGATTTGAACGCGTTGCCGCGACACATCGTGAGTAAGTTTCAACTGCCGGCATTGAGTTACCCACGCTCCACTTGCAATTTTCTCGTAATAACTTGTACTGAGATAATATTTTGTAACACCTCGACTATTAGGCAGATTGTATAGCACCCTTGGTAATGTTTCAATTGTATAAGACAACAACTTTCGCATTTTATGTCGATGTTTTTTTATGGTATAGGTCGGCAATCGAGCAGACGGATTACATGATGGTAAGCAATCAGCGCCACTCATGGACTCCCGCTACACCAAAAGAGTAACGAGGGCGTTGCCAGGCTTTTAGGTATAAAGGTTTCGGATATTTGAGGATTGGGAAGGGATGGGATTATTTTGTTACTATAATTATGGAGTTATGGTCGTGTGTGTACGACTGCACAAATTCAGAGCGGCTCGTCCTGGTCTCGAAACTAGGGTTGGATATTTTTAATAAATATAAATAATTTTTAAGCTGTATGACATAGCCAAATGTACACCATATTAAGGGCTTACCTACGTTAGACTTACAACTTTATAAATATTTTGACTGATTTTGACTGGTTCGCGTTTGTTTGTTTCGTCACGAAATGTTTGCTGCTTAGTGTATTATGATCAAAAAAGAAAACAAAAAAGGTATTATTCATTACAAGTGTTATTATCCAATTATAAAACAATTAAATATTTTCACAGAACAGAACGCAGTAACAACAAATATATAAATTCTCTTTACTTAAATAGTTACGTGTAGAAGTAAAATCTACAACGTAACATAACAACGAAATAAAGAAAAAATTGATCGGCTCATCTCAATTACAATTTTATGAACTTTCACATTCACTTGTTACGATGTAGTACGATGTAAAAACATAACACGTACGATAAGAACAAAAGACGCATTGCGTGATGTGAAAAATTTTAATGGAATCATTGTGGAAACAAAAGGTACACACAGACAGAACAACGCAGCACGGGCGAGTCTGGATCACGAAAATAAAAGTAAAAAAAGTGACACCACATGCTGCAGATGTTAAATCAGATAAAGTGGTAAACTTTCGTGGCGTCTTATTAATGTGCAACGCATGTAAGAGTTTGTTTACATTCAGCGATTTTAGCCGCGTTCGGTCATCGACGCGTAAACTTATAAATAGTACAACGATTTCTACATTCGATACAGATGCATACCGAACATTGATTTACTTACACATTTATAAAAACAAATTTTAGTACTTATATTAATTTCAATGTGTGTGGAAATTTGTATTTTAACACATCGTTTTGATTAACAATTCGATAAATAGCCAAGTTTGAACTACTAGTGCTGATTTTTCAATGGTAGGATAAAAGTTATCTGGGGAATAATTATGATGCTGTCGCATCAGAATGTTTGTATAAGACGGTGACAGCAACATATAACACATTATTCCACAGATAACATATATTTGACTATTGAAAAATCAGCCCTTAATTAGACCGCGACATTTTAAATAACAAATAATAATGCCGATGCTTCATTCAACATCGATAACTAAGTAATAATTACAGGGATAAGATTAACATCAGATTATAATGTTAGATTAACATAAATTTGTACATACAACGCAACAACATTAATCCTTGAACCAAGTGTAAAAAACACAATGCTCCATGCTGACTCACCAATCACTCGTGAGAAACACGTTGTCTTTAAGATGAACGACTTATTGAACACTATGCAGAGGATATTTTATACTGACGATTGGTATGAGTGAATTATAGCTCATAGCTTAACTAGTAAAAAACATCAACAAATAAATTACTCTGAAAGAATTCCCAGCGGTTGCGTTCGTGTCGTTTCAAATCGTAAAAGTGAAAATATCCTGATAAAGTTTGTAAGTAAGAATGAGTAATTTCTGCCTATACATATAACTAAACTGTGTTTGCTATTCTAGCAAACTGGGTCACTTCGTTTATTATTGCCCATAGCTGTATACATGAAAACGTTGTGTAAACATTTTTCATTTTAACAATATACCTAGTCTACGCACGTGAACCTCCGTGACGGACGCACTTAAAATATTTCGTAGGTATACCTAATATAATAAAACAATACAAATATAATAAAATCCTTTGTTCACTGTAAATATTATCGGGGTCATTTTTATTTGTTTTAAAGCTTGCTTAACATCATTTGACTGCACGGTTGGTGCGGTGGCTGGGCAACTGGCTGCCGTGCAACGTGTCGCGGGTTCGATTCCCGCACGGAACAACTCTTTTTGTGGTCCACAATTTGTTGTTCCGGGTTTGGGTGTCATGTGTATGTGAAATTGTAT